GAGCTACCTCTTTTTCGACCTCTTGCAAAGCACTAGAACTAGGGGGGCTCAGCCAGATTTGGGTTAAGATCATTCACCCGCTCCTCCCCCTCCTCATTTTCTTCCCCCACCGAATCCCCTAAGAACAAACAATCCAGGCCAAAAGGATCCCTATTCTGATCTTTAGATAGAGCTTCATCTGCCACACTACCTAAACTTCCACAGGCTTCCGAACTTTCATCATATTCAGAATCTGAGCCGCAGCTTGTCCAACATTGGTCAGCCTCTTCCTTCTCTTCTGTTCTACCTCTCAAATAGCATGGATTCGGGCGATCAGGAATGTTGTGTTTTTGCGCATCGTCGGCTATCCGTCGGACCCAGCATAGAGGCCGGCGTCCTTCTACCTTTCTCGCCAACTTTGCCCCTCCACAGTTGAGAGGGCGAGACTTAGACGATGATAGATGAATGTTGCCATCTATCATCGCCCCAAGCATGCCCCGCCCCACATGATGACTTAAGTTGTCACGTGGGCTTTTAAAACCAAGTGAAGGCTCACCCACTGACCCGTTCGGCCCAACCTTCCTTAAATCCGATTAAGAGAAAGACTTTGAGCACAAAGGACTCTTTCCCATTTTAGTCACGTCAGCATAGGACGGGCCACCCTCTTTAAACAATCCCTCTTCAAAAAAATTTGAATTGGAAGCCTTAAAAGGAAAGCTTCGAGACTTGGGGCACCCCTGCAACTGTTCCCCTTCCTCTGTATTTCGCCCACATGCACCAGGCTTTCCCACCAGCCCGTGAAGGCCATGTGTTCACCAACCTGCAAACTCGCCAGTTCCTTCAACCTCTAGTCGTCTTCCCCAAAGCAAGGCTTCATCTTCTGAAGCTAACCAGACCTTGTACCAAGCACCTTCTGAGAGAACTTCGAAGGCCCGCGACAAGTTCTCCGACTTGATCCCAGCAACCTTAAGTTCCACAGCTCTCAAGTTTCTTAAATTAACCTCTAACAGAACTCCACCCAACGCTCTAATAATTTTCCTCAGTATTTGATCATTCCAAAGGTTGAAAGGAAGACCGAGAAGTTTAATCAAAAAGCTGTCAGCTCTAGGTTCAACTTCGTTGTAATCTGGAGCCCAATTCTGGACTTGAATCAAACTTCCTTCTACAAGGAAAGTACTGAAGATCAGTTTCTTATCTCAAGTATCTAATAAAGCTTTCTTTTCAGCAAAAGGCAGCAACAATACATCTTCATCTAATCCCAACCTCTCTGCAATTACTTCTAAAACTTTCGTCCAATCTTCTATCACCCTGTCTGCCACTAGGACCACCCTCTTCTCCCAGCTCCCACTCCCTTCTTCCAAAGCTACTCGTCGGAGGATAGTCGAGCTGGACACCAAAACTTCAAGGTAATGCTTAAAGCAGGGCACCTGATTACACAGGACAGAATGAAGACAATCCTTCAAGCCAGGGGCTTCTTCTACTCTCCCTTCGACCTCCAAGAGAAAAGCCTGAAGATTAAAAGCAAAAGAAGCCCACCCTCTCCGCTTCAGGCCTTCTGGAATACACAACACTTGCCTTTTGTTATTACCAAAGAGTTCGGTAACCCTTATGAACCACCCTTTTCCATTCCTTTTTAGCACAAATTCGAACCTCTTGTTCTCACAAGTCAACGAGTTTCTCCAACCTTTTGCCCGTGAGGAATTAACAGTTCCATCTACAAAACCTTTCAACCACACACAGGCCTCCTCTGGTAGGAGAATCGTCGCCCTGCTCCCTTCTCTGATTTTCAAGTGAGCCTTCCCCTTTGTCCTTCCCTACTCAAACAGGAAAGATTTGGCTTCAATGATCAACTCCAGTCTCCATTTCCCCGCCAGCTTGTACTTCCTCTCCTCTCCCATACTTCCCTCTCTCGCTTTCATGAGTCCTTTCTTCAATCTATGTTCTTGTGTATAAAGCTCTTGAGAAGGTTAAAGGTGGTAAAAACTTAAAACCTAATCCTCAGTGGTAAACATTGCAACAAAGAGAAAAACAAGAGGGGGAAAAACTTCCGACTTGTGCTTTTTTTGTTCTTTCATCATCATCATCATCATCATCATTATGGAGAAGGAGATCATCTCATTAGTTTTTTTCAAAAGTGACATGGAATAAAAAAATTAAACAAATTCAGAAAGGGGGAAAATTTCTAGACTGCTATGTTTTAGTATATATACTAGTGGTGACCCGTGCGATGCATGGACTATTTTTTAAAAATGTATTTTAGGGAAAAATGAAATAACATTAATTCACCAAAATTTTTATATATTTCTAGTTCATTACATATAAAATAATAAAAAAATAATTTTCTAGTTTTTTATATTTAAATGCATGTTTGAGTTAATTTAGAGCCAATTCAAGGTTCTAAATATTGACATGGGTCGGGCGTATCAGCCTATGTCGGTGCTTTTTTCTTATGTTTATTTATTTTTTTCAAAACCGGTTCAAATGGGTTAGTTTACATCCTAGTTACCCTCCGAACCATGGTCTGACCCAATACAACCCCTATAGGGGCATATCAAGAAGCCATCGACACGATACGTATCGGCCAATATGGGTCGATATGTGCCGATACTTTGAACCTTGGGCCAATTACTAATTAACATGTCCAATTACCTAGCATATAGCATGCTTGTTCACCCATGATCAAGGTTTTAAAAATTAACACGGAACTGGAATTGTTTTGGCCACCACCCACCGGTTTCCAAGTTGATGGTTCGACCATCCAGTTCTAACGGATGGTTTGTTTCAATTTAAAAAATAAAAAAAAAATGTCCAAAAACCATTGAACAAATTGAATGGATATGATCAATGGATCATTGACCACTTTAGCTCAAAAACGGATTAAAAGTAAAACGAAATCGGTTGCTTAGATGGTTACCAAATCGAATGGTCTAACCATGCATGTCAACGTGATTATTTATCTTATTTTATTTTCGTTGATTAATATATATCATTGAATATATATATATATATATTAATCTTTGCATTATCATAAATAGAAACTTGACATGTAGAACATCCTATCTACGTCAACATTAATTCTCCCCAACTTTGTTTTATAGGCTTTCTTTGGTTAATCTAGTTGTAAAATGAAGGAATAAATGATTTTCTAGGAATTTATACTTCGGAGTTCTGGGTGTTTAATTGTATGCATGATGGGTATGAACAAAAGTTATGGGAAAATGAGATTTCTTCTAGTTCTTCCAAAATCATTTTTTAGGGACAAGTAACTGTAGTCCACCTAAGAAATCTGAAATTACAGCCCCCTTCTAGTCTACTAGTAGTCCTCCTATACACCACATCTTGCTCGTGGATTTGGCATCGATCCACGGTCATGATTCATCCCACCTGTATGGTGAAGATAAGATTTCTAGGAGTACAACCAAACAATAAAAACCCTTTTTTCAAGGAAAACATTGTTAATTTCAATGCAAAATATCTAGTATATGTTTGGCATAGATGTTGTATATATAGCACCATTTTCTGTATATATGTGAATTGGAAGCACCGTTTTCTAAGAAAACAGCATCTTTGTTTTGTTTGGAAATGTTACTGCCAGGTAGGACGTTTCCTAGAGCAACAACAACACCTTTTGCTTGGTACTAGTACTCCATATTTGTTTTTACCACTGATACCCATTATAGGAAGTTCACGTCATTGCCACATCATGACTTCATTGGCAGCAACGAGATCCAAATTGAAAAAACGTTGAATTCGACGTTTCCTCAGACCATGCCTTCAATTTCCGAAGCATGGTTTAGAGCACTGTTTTTATAGAAAATAGTTCCAAATATGTTACTGTTTTTCGAAGCATCAATATTTCCAACGTAGCGTTGATGTATCACCGTTTTCTAAAGCAACGACATTGATGCCAAACACTACCCTAATTAATATATACTTGTCGAATGTCGAAGACCATTGATGCTACTCAACAACCCCACTCACTAATGTATGGTCCCACCGCTTAACACCACTCTTTTATCCAAAAATTGGAACCAATGGATGCTAGGCAAAACAAATGAGTTAAAAGACATGGTGAGTTAAAAGCTAGAATACCGTTTGGTAATGTGAGGAAAATATATATGTTATATATATGTGAATATCTTGTTTATGGGCTAGTAAACCTTTCATTTAACACATGTAGGGCTCACATGCATGTTTAAATGTGCAATTCATATAATACATAATGTGGGCCCCACATGCATTTCATAATATGAAAAATGCATAATGTGGGCCCCACATGCAACCAAATAGAGGAAAAAAACCCGTTTGAAAATCACTTATTTTATAATTTCACATGCAGAGTTTAATTTCATAAAAGGTAGGGAAACTAGTGGGTCAGTTTCACAAAAGAGAGGAATTACTACAAAACTAGTGTGTTTGGTTTGAAAGAAAAAATGTAGGAATAGGAAGGGAAAGGAAGGAAAAGTTGTATTTGTGAGAATGTAGAGTTCAGTTTCATAAAAGAGAGGGATTACTAGAAACTAGTGGGTCAGCCAAGGACTAGAAACTAGTGTATGTTTGGTTTGAAAGAATAAGGTAGGAATAGGAAGGGAAAGGAAGGGAAAGTTCTCTTTGTGAGAACGCAGAGTTCAGCTGCATAAAAGAGAGGGATTAACTGGAAACTAGAGGGTCAGCCAAGGATTTTGTCCCATCTCCCATGCCAAAAAACCATGCACAGAGTAGATCAGTTGAGTATCCAAAGCAACAATAGTTGGACGGTAAAATAGATATGAAAAAAACTCCCAAAAATCTCAAAACTGGCCAAACTTCAAACTGTCACTTTAGCATGTTCAAAGATATGTTCCAAAGTATCATCCCTAATCAATAGACTTTCCTGGTCTTGTTTCACAATTTAGAAGGTTAAATATGGAATTTTCATTTACAGAAAATAAATTCAATAAATACTGTGTACTTTGTTCATAAAATCATGAAAAAAAAATCACTAGAAGAGGAAACATTAGAACTAATAAATCATTGCAATAGAACTGATAAACATTAGAATTGATAAATCAGTAAAACCGATTAAGCAAAACTGATAAACATTAGAATTGAAGACGAAACCCTAGAAGAAGAAACATTGGAACTGATAAATCAGTAAAACCGATTAAGCATTAAAACTTTCAATACCTACACCGTAAACCTTTGAACCGATTCACATTAACCCATAAATCATTGCAATTGGTAAACATAAACATCTGAATCGATATAACTCAGTTGACTCCAACCATTCAAACCCCTCAATCATTGGAACTGATAAATATAAACATTCAAGCATAAAACCCATTCGACAACCCAAACAATCGAACCCCATTGTTCGAACTACCCTTCAAACCCTAAATGTTCAATGTTTGAACCCAAATCCATTCAACAAACAAATAACTACAAGATTACAACCATAGATCAAATAATCGATCCCCACTGTTCCAACTATCTTTCAAAGTTCAAACCCTAAATATTCAACACCCGAACCCCAATACTCGAGCAACAAATATTTTACCAGAAAAAACAACCGTAGAACATAAAAATCAAACTCAATCGTTCAAATCCTGGAAATTACAATGAAAAATTAAAGAGGTGGTCAAATGTGGGTTGTTCCTTGACTGCCAAAATCACTTCTGGCGCAATCGTTCTTCAATGGTTCCTCAGCAAGTTGAAAATGGTAAGAGAACAAGAAAAAATAGAAACGAACAATGAAGGAAGAAGAAGAAAGAAGACCCAAAGGTGAAGGAGGAAGAGAAGCGACATACCTGACCAGACGAAGAAGAAGAGGAGTGGCTTCAGTTTTGAGGCCCCAAATGTTTGAGAAAATGGGAAACCATCGATTGGCACTGTTCGTTTTTGTCAGCGTGTCAACAATGACACGTATTAGCAAGCTCTCAACGCATCTAAAAGCGGGAAGCTTCATTTCAAGCTTCTTGAAATTAGACGGAAATTGGGCTTTTCGCATCTTTTTGGGCCCGCGTCATCTTGCCGGAGAAAGACGCAAAATCAAGCTTGTAGGCTTTTTGATGGAGGAAGATTTGGCCCGACCCTTGCGCCGCCTGACACGTGGAAGCTACCAAGGGTGACTTGGCAGGAGCGACAGTTCGGCACGGCAGAGTGTCTAAGGCACGAACTCCAAAAAGAGGAGCTTTGAGCTCCCTAGAAGGAACCCGAGCTCCCCCTGTTTTTACTTCGAGCCTTGTGAGGAGTGCGAAGGGCAGTAACCCAAACAGACCCCTCGCAGTTTGGGCCATCCTCCTATCCGAACCCAAGGCCAACTCGCGTACCGCTCCGGCGCCTCGTCTCCTAGGCAGTTGACAGCCACAGATTTGGCCCGACCCTTGGGCCGCCTGACACGTGGAAGCTACCAATGGTGACTTGGCAGGAGCGACAGCTCGGCACGACAGAGTGTCTAAGGCGCGAACTCCAAAAAGAGGAGCTTCGAGCTCCCTAGAAGGAACCCGAGCTCCCCCCGTTTTTACTCCGAGCCTTGCGAGGAGTGCGAAGGGCAGTAACCCAAACAGACCCCTCGGAGCAGTTCGGGCCATCCTCCTATCCGAACTCAAGGCCAACTCGCGTACCGCTCTGGCGCCTCGTCTCCTAGGTAGTTGACAGCCACACCTCAGCGAACCTGACACTTAGGGGATCTGACAGTTGACAGCCACACCTCAACGAACCTGACACTCAGGGGATCTGATAGTTGACAGCCGCACTACACCAGCCACCTGCCACTGCCACCTCGAGTTACAGAGGTGGCTCCGACAGAGAACAGTGGCGATTGTTTGCCCCTGCAGAGGTGATGACACCCGAACTGGCAGAAACACAGAAGTAATAATGCCCGACCTGACAGGAGCCTGGGAGCGAGTGCGCGAAGTGATGATAAAAGCCCCCTTTTCCCTCCCGAATGGAGGTAGGTGATAATTTTGTGCTATCTGGTTCTCTTTCGTCTTGCCTTTGAAAGAATACTAACTTGAGTTTCGGAGCACTCTCACCGGGTTCCTCCCCGGAGATCACTCGGTCTCTTCCCCGTTTCAGGCACTTACCGCTCCAGTCGGAGGCAAGACCGTTGACAGCTAGGACCGACCGGATTGCGCTCCATCATTTGGTGTCGTCTGTGGGAAACGCTTCWAAAAGCCTCCCTCCAAAACTTTCATTACCCCCCCCCCTTTCTAAAGAAACCCTAGCATCCATGGCTTCTTCCAGCAACGTCAGGCGTACCACGGAGATTAACGCCACCGGGGAACAACTTCCAGTCCCCATGGTGTGCACCGGACAGTTCACCATCCCCCTTTCGGTGGATGGGATCCCCAGCTTGAATGCACCACGAGCGGTGGCGCCCGTAAACCTTCCCGCCGTGAACGTCCCCCTTCCTCCCTTTGTTGAAACCACCTTTGCTGAACCAGCCATTGTTCCCCCGGCAACTGGCCAGAACCAGCTTGATGACCTGGTACATGGCATGCGGGCCATCCAAGCCCAGATGCAGTAGCTTCAACAACACCAGATCTACCAGTAGCAGATGTTGAACCATGTATCCCAATACCACTACCAGTAGCAGTTCCCCCAACTGTCTCAGAGTCAGCCGCAGCTTCCACCTCGGCACCCCGCGGATGGGCGAGTCAAGCCCTCCCCTCAGGGTGGGCGCCCTCACCACGGAGAGCCTTCCCAAGCTCGAGGCTCATCTAGAAGCCAGGCCTCATCCCCCGGCAGGAAAGAGAAAGCGACTGCCCCCACCCCACCACGCGTCGGCAGATTAGGGACCCGATCCCTCAAGTCAACGTCACCTCGGCACTCTCAGGACGAGCTCCTGCACACGAAAAACCGGTTCAGCGCCTTAGCCGCGGACCACCTCCAGCAATCCAGGCCCATTGAGCTCGGGAACACCGAGGCCAGCAGCGCCAACGCCGGCCGGGCCTTCCAAACAGCAGAGGCGCCGCTGAACTACAACCCACGTCTTGCCCGAGCTCCAAGGTAAAGCGGAAGCAAGCTCGGACGAGGTAAAAGCTGCCCCTATCCTCTCTGTCCCCTCCCCCCTGTCTTTGGAACTCCTAGTAGTTCCCATGACCAGAGACTTCAAGCTCCCCCCACTTGACAAGTATGACGGGTCCTTCGACCCCAGCGACCATGTTGACGCTTTCCAGTCCCAGATGCACCTGGCTAGGGCCAACGAGTCCTGTATGTGCATGGCCTTCACTACCCCCTTCCGAGGAGTGGCTCGCACCTAGTACAGGAACCTGGCCCCCGGGTTGATAAGGAGCTGGGCCCAGTTCGTACAGGTCTTCACCGCGCACTTTGTCTCCAGCAGGCGGTGCCCCTGAACCGAAGAGAGCCTCATCGGCATGGTCCAGAAGGAAGGGGAGCCCATCCGCAGCTACATCAAGCGGTTTAATGACGCGTGCCTACAGATCCCGCGCCTGGACCACGCAGTTCAGCTCGCGGCGGCCAAGATGGGGGTGACACACAAGGAGTTCAAATGGCACATGGTAGCTAACCAGCCCGCAACCGTGGCCGAATTCCTCAAGCTTGTGGATAAGTTCATGTGAACGGAGGAGGAGATCAACCAAAGGATAGGGGGCGGGATTGAGAAAAGGAAGAGAGAAGAACTCCCCAACCAAGGAGACGGCCGGAAGGATCTGGCTCGCACGCCGAAACTGAGCCAGCCATTCCGGACTCCCATGGCAACTCGGACAGACTACATGCCTTTGAACACGAAGCGGGCTGAGATCTTGATGACAATCAAAGACGCCCCATACGTTAAGTGACCACCTCGCCTAAAGGGGAACCCAAACGAGAGGAACAAAAACTTGTACTATAGTTTCCATAGGGACCACGGTCATAGCACCGAACATTCTAATAATCTCCGCGACGAGATAAAGGAACTCATCCGCCGCGGGTACTTGAGAAATTTTGTACAGCACAACAATAATAATAGAATAATAAGACAGGTCGGCAGGGAGAGCACGGTAAGGATGCTCCCGAGTCCACCAGCAGGCCGACCGAACAGCCGCAGAGACAGCCTCCGGAAGAGAGGCCAGTTCGAGGAACCATCCACGTAATAGTGGGGGGTTCGGTGGTAGCAGGTTGTACCTCGGCGGCGGCCCGGAATTCAGTTCGCGGGGCTGCCCGAAAAGAACAGAACCTCTCGAAGAGGCCGAAGATGGGAGAACCGATTTCCTTCTTGGAAGACGATGCATGAGGGGTCCGCCACCCTCACGATGATGCACTCGTGATAAAGCTGAGGATCAACGACTTCGAAGTCAGACACGTACTCGTTGACTCGAGCAGCTCGTTGGACATTCTCTTCAAGTCAGCATTTGACCAACTTCAATTGCGGGGAAGTGACTTGAAGCCCGCGAACACTCCTCTGATGGGCTTCAGTGGAGAAGAAGTCCGGCCCCTTGGAAAAGTAACAGTGCCCATGGAGGTCGACACATGGTCTTGTGCGGTCAGACTCAGCCACGATTTTCTGGTGGTCGCGACCCCCTCCCCATACAACGCCATAATAGGGCGGCCGATCACTCATGTCCTACGGGCAGTGGTCTCCACCTACTACCTGGCAATGAAGTTTTCTACAGACTTCGGTGTGGGGGTAGCGCGGGGCGACCAGCTCGAGTCCCGCAAGTTCTATGTTGCCGCCCTGAAGGGAAAGACCAAGGCGGTCGACGACCTCGAACTAGAGCGGCCTACGGAGCAAGGCGAAGAACGAGCTGCACCCACGGAAGAAACAGTCGCGATCCCAACTTCGGCCGCGGACCCAGCTCGGACGCTACAGATCGGTGCTTCCGTCCAGGAACCTCTACGATCTGAACTGGTAAGTTTCTTGCTTCAAAATTTAGATATTTTCGCATGGTCCGCGGCTGAGATGCCCGGTATTGACCCCAGCCTTATAACTCACAAACTTAATACCGATCCTGTAGTCCGGCCCGTTAGACAAAAGAAACGTAACCTAGCCTCAGAGCGGTGGAAAGCAGTTGACGAGGAGGTGACAAAGCTCCTCGCAGCCGACTTCATAAGAGAAGTCCATTACCCGAGCAGGGTAGTCAACCCCATCCTGGTGAAGGAGGCCAATGACAAGTGGCGCATGTGCGTTGACTACACCGACCGAAACCGAGCCTGCCCAAAAGACTGCTTCCCACTGCCCAGAATCGACCGTTTGGTGGACGCGACCTTGGGGCACAAGTTGCTAAGTTTCTTACGCCTATTCGAGCTACAACCAGATCAGAATGAACTCGGCCGACGAGGAAAAAACCTCGTTCATCACGGAGTTCGGTCTGTACTGCTACAAGGTTATGCCCTTCGGATTGAAAAATGCCGGAGCGACCTTTCAAAGGCTTGTAAATAAACAATTTGAGCTGCTAGTTGGCAGAAAAGTAGAATGTTATGTAGACGACATGGTCGTCAAAACCCAATTCTTGCACGAATTAATACAAGATTTGTATTCTGTATTTCAAATTCTGAGACAATTTAACATGAAACTAAATCCGAACAAGTGTATCTTCGGTGTCACCTCGGGCAAGTTCCTAAGGTACATTGTTAACCGACATGGCATTGAGGCCAACCCAGAAAAAATCAAGGCCATCTTAGACATGAGACCTCCCCGGAAATTAAAGGAGATCCAAAAGTTGAATGGCCGCATAGCCGCCCTAGGCCGCTTTATCTCAAAATCAGCAGACCGCTGCCTGCCTTTCTTTAAGGCAAATAAAGGGAAAGGGTTCGAATGAACCCAAGACTGCTAGCTCGCATTCGACGAGCTCAAGAAATACCTCGCTAGTGCACCGGTCTTAACCAGGCCCGAGGAGGGCAATGTCCTAGAACTGTACCTCTCGGCAAGCGACGAAGTGGTCAGTTCGGTACTAATAAGAGAAGTAGATCGGGTCCAGCGACCCATCTATTATGTTAGTAAAATTTAGCAGGGAGCTGAGACGAGGTGCCCACAAATAGAAAAGTTGGCATACGCACTGATAATCGCAGCTTGAAAGCTCCGCCCGTACTTCCAGGCTCACACTAACATCGTCTTGACCAACAAACCTCTGAGGCAAGTCTTACTCAAGCCTGAGGTCTCCGGCCGACTGACGAAGTGGGCCATCGAGCTCAGCGAGTACGACCTCCAATATAAGCCACGAACTGTCATTAAGGCCCAAGCCTTGGCAGATTTCATCGCAGAATGCACATTCAACTCCAAAGTTCCCAGGTCGGTTGAACCAGAGATCCCCAGTT